TTGCTTATCAGGTCTAAATTGTAAAACTCTTGGGAATTCATTCAACTAGTAATTGTTCAGCTACTGCTGAATTATTTAGCAGGTATGGTATTAGTGCTAAGTGTATGTATGGAGACTGTCCTCAACAAGCCAACAGCCCACTGGGAAGGAAAGAAACACAGCAAGTAAACAGTTCTGGTAGGTAAAACCTATGATAACGCAACTGATACTTATTAAGCACACTTCAAACATAGTACCCTCACCGAACCTCAATTTTCTATCAATGAATTTGAACTGGTTTAATGATTAAAGATAATTGATAAAATGAGCACTAGTCGGCAAGTTTTTTAAATAAAGGGCTGGAGGCAGAGAATATATTAAAAGTTCTTGTCACATAATAGATATGACAGCTACTGTTGTTATAATTTCAAGGGGTGGGCTGGCACATAAATGGACATGCCCTCTGAGTTTAAAATAGAAATCCAATTTGAAGAGAGGAGGTTACAAAAGAAGTACAGCCATCCTCAAGATTCTCTAGTAAATACACATGCTAGCCTTGAAACCGCTAGCAAGACTCCACACTGCAAGAGAACTAACCATGCAAAGACTACTAGGTCAACTAAACAAAACAGTGCACACCCACTGGCTTGATAAACAAGCCCCCCCCAGGCTTGTCACAGGAGAGCGTCTGCCTCTACCTAAGTCTCCATGTTCTCTAAAGTACTTCATCCCAAACTGATTTAGGTTAAAATTATCATTTAGAAACATCATACACAAAAACCAGTAAGGAAAGAACCTCTACATGACAAAATCTAATAAGCATATTTTCAGCATTTTTTTTAATTTTAATGCCATTTATCTATCCTATAAACTGGTCATCAAATGTATCCAAATTAATTGGGCTGGAATAGTAAATCAAGAAACCCTGAAATGGATGTTTCCCTCCCTGAAAAAACTATTAAGGAAGAGGAAAAAGAATAAAAATAGACAATACAACAGAGAAATAAAAATGATACATATGCAGATCAACATCATGAAATACTTTACTTTTTAAATAGTGACTCAAATATTCTATAAATCTAAAATCTGTGCATAGGGGCACCTGGGTGGCTCAGTTGGTTAAGCAACTGCCTTTGGTTCAGGTCATGATCCCAGGGTCCTGGGATCAAGCCCGACCAGGGCTTCTTCCTCCGCGGGGAGCCTGCTTCTCCCTCTCTCTCTGCCTGCCACTCCCCCTGCTTGTGCTCTCTCTCTCTCTCATTATCCATCTCTCTGTGTCAAATAAATAAAAATCTTAAATAAATAAATAAATAAATATAAAAAATCAAATCAAATCTGTGCATAAAGAAGGTAATTTTGGTTCATAGTCACCAGCATTATTAACATACTTAGGAACACATGTGAAGCACAAAACATCATCCCGGGTAATGGACTTCAGGGGGTCTGCCCCCAGAGAGCTCCATCTCCCTGCAAGTGTACACAGTGTTTCAGGAACATGTGCACAGGTGCTTTTTCTAGGGAGACCATCCAAAGCTTTCTGCTAAAGAAGTTAAGAACCACTCACTTCAGATTAAGTTTCTAACATTCCTAATGTTACCTTTCCTTGAAAATGAACAATACAACAAGAAAATAAGTTATCAGAATTATGTTAATAAGGTTAAAACAAATCATCAAAACTCCGTGGAAATGTTTTTACAGCATAAAAGAAATAAGGTTTATTCTATCTGTAGGCTGTAAATTTGAAAATTTTAAGTTTTAGGGAACTAAACTAGCTTTACAAAACAGATGTTATTGCCTGTGCCATTTAATCAATTCAAGTCACATTCCTAGAAGACAATATAGCCATCTGATGAGTTCAGCGTCAATGGAATGAGCCAAATCCACACAACAGCATTTTACAAAAATAATCAGTGGTTTAAAGCAGGGCATGTGCAAAATTCCTGAAATAACACATACATAATTCACTGCCAAACTCAGATCAATTCAAAATCTGCAGAGGCAAGAAGCATTATTATGGCTCTGAAATCCATATTCAGTAAGGCTGTGTTCAAAAAGTTTCATTTCAATCTCAAGAAAATAAATGAGTAGAGAAGCTCAATAATGATTTTGGCAGATATCAGTTCCTTCGTTCAAAGCAGAATCTTTTTACACAGCTTAAGACTTCTTAAAAGATAAAGAAAAACACCAATTTACAGGCCCTAAGTCTTGAATTTAAGGATGAGATGCCCTCTACTTGAGAAATACAACACTGTATCTTCTCAAATATTGTAGCTAGAGGTAAAAGAGCACAATGGAAAAGGGAAAAAGCACAGCTTTATTAGAGATCTGGATCTGGATCTGCCACTAACTGGATGACTCTGAGGAAGTTACTTCACCTCTCTGTGCCTTGGTTTACTCATTTCTAAACAGCCCAAGGCCATGATGGACAAGGAACCCCTAGATTTCCCCAAAAGCCACCAACCCTGACCACCCACATCTCCTGGGGTCTTCTTCGTAACAAGCATCTTGCCACAGATTCACTCACGTCCTCCTCAATAAGGCAATTTTAGGGCTTAAGAAAAATTCAAGTTCCTTCTCACAAAAGGCTTGGGAGTAAATGAAAAGCTAGAAGATTTCTTCAAAGTATAGTATACCTCGTTTCTTCAAAGTACATAACATCTTGCAAAAGGATGAAAGAAAGAGAAATTACAAAGTTTTACAGAAGCACTGCTGTCCTTGCGAGGACCTACTACTAAGCACCTGGAAACCAGAGCAGTGGGCTTTGCTAAAACTTCAAACTTATTTCATGACTGTTTTCCACAGAAATCTACAGAGGCCTTTAGTCTGGGTTTACTCACCTGCCAAAAGAGGGTGGGGGTGGGGGACTGGGGAGGGCTGGACTAAAATCAGTGGCTCCAAACCACATTCCACCGAACTCTTAGGCTCGGCGACAGTGCCTCACAGGTGTCAGGACAAACGTCTTCACACCATCTTTAAGCAGAAAGAGCAGCAGTTTTATTGTTTTACGTTTGCTTTGGTTTTCCATGTCAGTTAAACCACATGTTCAAAAAAAAGAGACAACAGGCCTAAAATGGAGTCACTTGTGTTGAGCCCAAATCAGCAAACCGAGGCTTAGTACCTATTTCAGCCTCTCCCAGGAATGTAATCCTAACCAGTCAGTCAGGGATTACCGGTTCCATAAATGAGGTATTCTGCCTGGCAGACCCCTGCCGTCCACCAGAGCAAGGTGACCTAGTCTGAAACAATCAGCTCTCTGCTAGAATACCTGCCTTCTCTCACCTCCGGCTATAAAGTCTTCCATTCTGTACGGCTCTTCCGAGCTCCTTTCTATCTGCTAGATGGGATGCTACCCGAATTCATGACTCACTGAAAAAGCCAATGAGATCTTTTAAAATTTACTCAGCTGAAGTCTGTTTTTTAACACATGTTACGGGTTCATGTAAGATTTGGTTTTGCAAGTAGGTTCTGCTTATGTTTGCAAATGATGTGCAAAATAAATAGTCCTTAAAGTTCTAACATCCTGTAAGATTACGACTGTCGTTTGAAATGGAATTTAACAGTAAAGTGAAATTTGTTTTACAGAAACTTGTTTTGCAGTAGATAAACTAATAGGCTACATCTATTTAATACTGCAAGAGATACCTGGTATTACTATTCATCATGGTGTAGTGCTACCTGTAAAAGTTAACTAAAAGCTTCAACATAATTCAAAGAGTGGGTAAAATAAAAAGGAATTTCTTTGTGAAATGTTAAGACTTTTATTAAAACTCATTAATTCTTTCAATCAGAACAGAGTAAAATGAGTTAAAAATGCCAAAGACTTAAAAGCCTGGCATTATAACGAGTAGGACCACACTAAACTGCAAATCCTTATAGCATAGGAATCTCCAAAACAACACAAACAAGGATGGGTGGATGGATGATTAAATGGTAAGTCCCAATAACCACAGAATAAAGACATTTAGCATTATGGTGCATAACATTTAACACCAAACTTTGAAAGAAACTTTGTAACCTGAAAATTATAGACGTATTGAAGTATTTGACAACAAAAGATAAAAGGGAGGTGAGGAGGAAAAAGACAAAATCTTAGGAACACAATTTAATTTTATTCCACCAAAAGAATTCCTAATTGACAGAATTCATTCAACAAAGCATAAAATAAACACTGTAAATTTCAAAACTTCCTCTGTATCAAGAAGAATTTTCAATCATACAGCTGAAGGATTAAATATACACAACCACAGTTTTCAAATGCAGTACTAAGATTTATCTACATATACTCAAAGACGAAAGGTCAGAAATTCACTCTACTTTTTTTTTTTTTAAGGATCTTATTTATTTATTTGACAGAGAGAGACACAGCGAGAGAGGGAACACAAGCAGGGGGAGTGGGAAAGGGAGAAGCAGGCCTCCTGCGGAGCAGGGAGCCCGATGCGGGGCTCGATCCCAGGACCCTGGAATCATGACCTGAGCCAAGGGCAGACGCTTAACGACTGAGCCACCCAGGCGCCCAGAAATTCACTCTACTTTTAAAGGTGTATAAGAAAACCTAATAAGCCTTTAGCCCTTCCTTAATAATAGGCCCAATCATGCTCACATTCTTACTTCTATGGAAGAAAATTAAATTCACGTTGCTAATGTCCTAATGGTGGTATATGATGGAAGTAGAAAACATGGATAACAGAAGGTTTACACCAACACATGACAACACATATAATTGTTTACAAACCGATGAAATTTCAAAGTAAGAAAAAGATGTAAGAACCCAAAGGAACCAAACATATGTTTCCATATAAGCAGGATGTCAGATAATTACACCACTACATTTATCCCCAGAATTAAATGCTCACTGTGAACAAAGGTTAACATCTAAAATGGTATCCTCATTAAGTTCTAAAAGGAAATCATACTAGAAAACTGACAAGAAAGTCAGATACGGAAATACATGCTATTTAATTTCTCTATGCCTCTTTTAAGAACTTTATTTAATATGGTTAGAATCCTAACATCCCTACAACCCTATTATTGGTAAAGTTAGTATTAATTTACAAATAAATTGCTTTAAATTTTTTCAAAGAAAACTGACAGATGAAAGGAAGAATACAGAGAAGATCTTTGGTAGTGATCGATTTGAAGTTTTTAGTTTCAACTATTCAAGATGTAAAGAAAGGGCCACTGCAATGTAGTAAGTACAATTTTGCAGAGGCCAGAATGTGAGCTGCTGGTGCACAGGCTGGTAAAAGGGAGCAGTCATTTCACTTGCAAATGAGCCCCACAGGTGGGTTAGCAATTTTTTCATTGTTGTTTATTTTTCTCTACTTGTTGCCAGAGAAACACAGTAACTTTCCTGAAGCTATTGTTGCAAGCGTTTTTCTTTTATAAGAAATGGACATAAAAATAAAAAGCAGCCAACTGCTGACAGTGAAGAGGCTTAAGGAATGACTAGTGTTAGCCAAAAGGACAAGGGAGGAAAGTCACTGGGGATCACTCAGACTTATAAATGGAACCAGTGACCATATGCTTAGTCAGAAACAAAAAAAAGCCATCTGCAAAAATATTTTTGGTGAGTGGACCAGCAGGGCAAAAATTTTATTTTACGAAGGAAAATTTTATGTCATAATGGTATTCGCAAAACTGGGACTGCTGGAAGACTTCAAGATGCATCTCTTCCAAATGTCAATAGTATGCCATACCACAGCAACCTAGAGATCTGCTTCCAAAAGTCAACCTAACTCCAAAGTTTCTGCATACAAAACAGATCCGGATTTTAGGGATCTCAATCTAGAAATCTGTCTACTTTGACAGAGAAGAGAACTTACCAAAACCTTACTTACCATAAACCCCCTCGTGATTTAGACCGGTGTCTGAAGTCAGGAGCTGCCATAGGTAAAATGAATTGCTGCGTTTCCTATTATCCTACTACTGCCTAGTAAGAACCTCTAAGAACTTTTCCACCTAGGAGAGACCGCTGTCTCAGCAGCCATTCTACAAATGGCTCATACCAGTTCTCCCAACAGTCCTTTTTTTCAGTGGAGATGTTCTGACTCCTAAATTATAAACCTTTAACCAATTACCTTGCCTCTAGTATATGTCTAGGTGTTTGAATGCTGCCCTGGCTTTTAATATAGAACCTTGCTTGCCTCATTCCCTGTTCTTTCTCTTGCTCTCCGTTATGCGTCTTCCTTTGTTCTACCCCTACACTTCCTACTTAATTTCAACACACTGTATTCCCTACACCTGGCTCTTGCTCTTCCTCCTAAACTTTACATGACTTGCATGTGGATCCCTGTCTGCCATCTTACTTTCACAGGTAACCCAGCCAGAGTCCAAGATGAACTGGCAGAGGACAAGATGTGACGCCTTTCAGAATATATGAAATAGCTAAGATAAAGGACAGGAATAATTTATCATCACCAGAAAAATCAGCAGTGTGTTCCTGGAGCTGATCACAGTTGGTACTCACTTACATATTACCACTTCTCTACCATCTCTTCTCAGGCCTAGCTTGGATAGTTAGTAAGTGGAAGGGGATAGTCCTTCCCTCCAATCGCACATGCCCCCCTACATTAACCAGTTACACATGTGGTTTGACTTCTGGGACACAAGGGTTCAGTCTCACATTGCTGCCAAAGCTTAATCAGGTCTGAAAAAGCGGTACTGGAGATAGCAAAGCTACCAGTAAAGGAAGAGAGAAGTAGGACTACTTTACCTTCATCGGTTTGTTCTAGAGTTCCAGACTCACAAGCACTTCAAATGTCAGTTAATGCATATTCCAATAATGCACGGAAGATGAGATGGCACTTCAAAAAGATGTGCTGTAAAAAGTGTTTTCCCAAGTCATTTTTTTCTTCTTTTTTCCCAGTTTCTTTTCACTTAGTGACACTCAGATAGGACTAGGCCTCTTCTCCGCAGTTATTTAGGACTGAAGACATGGGTTTTTATTAGATTCCTTCGTGCCACCCACGAAGGAAGCACAAATGGTCACTCCCACCCACCCCACAAAAGAATCACCTTCTGAACAGATCGCCAAAACAAAGAAGAGTCTTTTAAGAAGAAGAGCTGCTTTTCCTACCCATTCCCACTCTGGCACTCCTTGCCTATTTTCTTCGGCCAGAGGAGGGAGGAAACTCTGGGCTACCAATTCCATTAAGAACCAACTGGGTTACAGACAGAATTATAAAAACAGGTATGTTTTGATAAATGGTCACCAATCTAATCCATTTGAGATTGACCCCAATTATTTTCCTATCTTGTCCTTTCATAATTCAAATCTATCTTCTGCCATCCTGGGGCCTGAGAAAGCAGTAATACTGCCTGCTTTAAGGAAATACAAGCTTCATCACTGGGATAATCATAACCATACATATTAAATCCCCCCTGAAATATATTTAGTACGTATGTTTTCTTCTTTGAAGCATTTAAGATATACTGGATAGGGGCGCCTGGGTGGCTCAGTCATTAAGCATCTGCCTTCAGCTCAGGTCATGATCCCAGGGTCCTGGAATCAAGTCCCACTCCGGGCTCAGCAGGAATTCTCCCTCTCCCACTCCCCCTGCTTGTGTTCCCTCTCTCACTGTGTCTCCTCTGTTAAATAAATAAATAAAAATCTTTGAAAAATAAAAATAAAATATACCGCATAACTTAAAAACTTGGGGTTTTTGTTTTTGTTTTTGTTTTTGTTTTTGGTTGCAGAAAGAAAACATGAAACTTAAAACAGCAATGGTAAGCTGGAGAAAATTAAGAAAGCTACCAACCTTTAGGGGATTACCTTCAGCAGATCTAGCCATATTAGGTATTATATTTCCAAAGTTGCCAAAGCAACAGAACAGCTAAAAACTTACCTTAAGCTCAGACTAACAGAGCCAAGCTCTACTACTTGTAATGAGGAGAGAAAGAATGATACTTCTTCATACGGGAGACAAAATCATTGAAACCAATACATTCAAGACTTAATCTCAGGAATGAACATCTATCATCATTCAAGAGGGATGAATAAAACTTACAGAAAGAGAAAAAACTATAATGAGATGCAAAACTAGTTAAGTCAAGGGCTATCAAGGACAGCCTGTCCTTTTTTTTTTAACCTGCATTCCTCTCTCTATTATTAATTACCTGGGGACCTAGAGCATAAGGAAGTTATTACTAAAGTACTGATTTCTAACTGTGTATGTGTCCCTATTTAAACATTCCAAAAGAATATAAAACAAAAATAAATCTGTATCTTCTATACAAATCACTACTGACCAAATTAAAAAAGAAAATGATTTTTTGCTTGACTTCTCTGAATATGCTTTGTTTTGTACATTTAACTTTGGAATCACATTTCACATAATTATAAAACAAGATCAAACTTTTTATATAACCTCTAAAAATTCAGAAGTAAAATTAAAACAAATGCACCTCACTGTGTAACCAACTGGTGACAAAACCACACAGAGAGTGATTATTCTGAGTGCCTACAAATAGGATATACACAAAGGACAACTGAAAAAAATCTGTAAAAATACATCTATCCAATAACAGACCCCAACAACAAAGAGTTCTGTTTTAGTCACAGCAGTGTCGTTATTCTAAGACTACTATATATGTGGTATGGGATAAAGCAAATGAGACACTAAGTTGTGCATCAGCAGTCGTGGCACAGGGGAAAGAAGACACAGATACAAGAAAGATGGCATTAAGCAAAAGCCCTGTAGTCATGAACCTGAATTGCTAAGGATTAGTATGAATTACAATATTCTTTACCTTTAAAAGGGAGGGAGGACATATACCTAGATCTGTTCACTGAAAAAGCCGAGAAACAATGATTAAGTTAATAGCAAAGAAAATCGCCAGTGCTCAGATTATGGTCTCTAATCCCACTTAAAGGAACCAGAATCCTGTGGCAAAATGGCTGATGACAGATCTGGAGCAGAAAATGTTCACGTTAAGTCTGGAATACCCTGTTGTGCCAAAAAACAAACAAGATATCAATGACTTCTACAGTCATGTCAAAAGGACTTAGAAGCCATCTTAAATATTCCACTGGCCCAAGGATGGGACTATTTAAATATTAAGAAGGACAACCATAATCGATTGAAATGGGGCGCCTGGGTGGCTCAGATGGTTAAGCGTCTGCCTTCGGCTCAGGTCATGATCCCGGGGTCCTGGGATCGAGCCCTGCATCGGGCTCCCTGCTCCGCGGGAAGCCTGCTTCTCCCTCTCCCACTCCCCCTGCTTGTGTTCCCTCTCTCGCTATCTCTCTCTGTCAAATAAATAAACAAAATCTTTTTTAAAAAATCGATTGAAATAATATATTTAAATCCATGAGTTCACAATAATATTCAAAAATTTAAACTCACGTCACCTTTAGAGGAAAGTTAACTATCACTCTATATAGTAAAGTTAACCTATATGAAGGTCTTTGGAAAACTTTCTTCAAATGCTAGTCCTATCACACCTGCCATTTTAATAATAACTCAAGTAAAACTCAAATGTTCTAATTATAACGTTTGAAAAGGGACAAAACTAATTCATACAGTCTGTATGAAGAATATAAAGCATCAGAAAATAATAATAATGATGATGATGATAATGTTGTTGTTGTTGTTACCTGGTATAAGTGTGATACAAAAAATGGAAATGTTAACCCCCTGCCCAAAAAAGGGCATCATACGTAATATATTTTATGCATTCCAATTAATATAAATAGAAATACATGTATAAGTGTGTGTGTCTTCATAAAATAAAATGTACCTATGCAAGAATTATCAGTGTTTACAGGGAGTGTTCAGAGCCTAATGGTTTTTTTAAACTGTCAACATTTTAGGTAGCCATTACCAACAGACTTGAAATATTGAAAGTATATTACAGAGAGCACAGGCTTTAAAGTTCCTGATTCCTGAGGAAAAATTATAAACAAAGGAGATATACCTCAATGTCCAATATCCTTTAATAACTTCTACTTTAGATTAAGTAAGAACCCAAAGGTCACACTGAGGAAATATTCTTAAACTATCCACAGAAAAATCATATAGACTGGGTTATTTCCTTTGTTTAAAAAAACATAGCTTTGTTTAAAAAAAATATTTACTACTACAATTCTGCCACATTATCAGTGTCTAGCCCTTTCTGATGCCTTGCCCAGCAAACCATGACCACCCCACATTTTTTTGAAACACTAACTCAAAAAATCACTGCTCTTCACCCAGTTTACACATTCTAACTCAACTAACCTCTACTATGCTTTCCTTCTTAAGTATTTTTCTTCCTATTCCTCACTGCTTCCTACACACTACTGAAGGAGTGGTCAGATAACTACAACAGCCAACCTCCCACCACAATGAGATTTGTTCCAGACCCATCTACATGGTCCCCAAGGCCAAAGTAAAACCAAAACAATACTTCCTCAAATGATACAGAGTCCTCAAACTGTGGTAAGCCCAGAAAATTTCCAAGTAGTTCAACTATAATCTAGGCTCTCAATACTAATAACATTTAACCATGGCTGAACTAAAATTAGCCTTCCTCCTGAAATACTCTTCTAAAAGCTCTAAGAAAGTTAACCATTTCCCCCCTAAATTTTTCTAATGTTATAGGACAGTCAAAATGCCACAAAGTACGCTAAGCCAATTTGACCGAAGTCAAACTCACAGGCCTTCCCCTCCCATTGCAACTTCCACATAACATGACATACAGCATTGTGGCAGGGAGGGCAAGTAGGCTTTATGGAGTCTAAAGTACAAATCTCATAAGCATGGTTAATTAGCAAAAGCACCTCAAAATGATTTCCAATCACCACAATAGCACACATTCTCTAGAGTGTATTCAAAGGATCAGAATCTTCAGTGAGATCATTTCAGGATAGAGTATAACTTGGATTGCATATCTGGAACTTCAACTGCATTCAAGTAGACAGCTATGAAATGAAGCCACATTTACATTCCTAAAGGAAATCTCTAAACCACTAAGCAAATGGTATGAATAATATTCTTACTTCTTCCAAACCTCTGAGACCATTTAATAAATGTTTATTGAATGAACTGCCTTATTTCAAAGAATACATATCGTATCTCCTAAAATTCCTTAACATCACCCCAAAACAAACAGCCCAAAATCAATCTTACAATCTTACAAGGTAACAACACATACCTTCATGATGTTCCTATATTGGTATCATAGGGCCCTAAAATCCAACCACATGTCCTTCAGGGAAAATGCCTATGTTCTGTAGAGCAGCTAACATTCACAAATACACTACAAATAGCCACCAAGGATTGTAAAATCCAAAACTGGCACAATTTATCTATCACATTTATTCTAGCACACAAGCAGAACTATACAAATAAGCATCCACAAATCCTGCCTGGGTTTAGAAAAAATGTAAATAGTAAACTGGCAAGATCATGAATACAGAAACCTCAAAATAAAGCTAATAGAAGTGGAGTGGCATTTATAAATGAAAGCTCATCAAGAGATCAAGATAAATCTTGTGAAAAACAGATGCTGAAAAGCACTCTCAGGTTTACCACATGAAGCCGTCAACTTGAAAAGCTTAGGGAAACCATCAAGAAAACTAGTTTCCTAACATAATCAATAAATTCACTGCCATGTAAAAAAGGAAGAAAGGAAGGGAAGAAGACAAAGAGAGAGAGGGAAGAGAGAGAAGGAAGAAGTGAGGGAGGGCTAATGCAGGACTAGGAGAAAATGTCATGATACCCTTTTTCATGATACCCTTTTTAAGCCCCCAGCCAGATGAAAAAAGATCCTACCACATTCCTGGCTCAATGGTCTTCTGCTAGAACACTTCCAGTGCCTCTTCCTTAAGATGAGGCCAAAATGGTCCTTCTGCCATTTCCAGCCATTGTTGGTTCTGTCCCTACACTTAGCTAGCACTGTCCCATAGAACTTCTGTGGTGATGGAAATGTTTTTATCTGCACTGTCCATCAGTGTAGCCCTTAGCCATATATGGCTATTGAGCACCTGAAATGTGGTCATGTGACTAAGGATTTCAATGTGTCATTTTATTTAATCAGTTAAAACTTAAAGAACTACACATGGTAAGAGGAGGCATGAACTCACAGAAGAAAAAAAAACTTTCTTTACATCTCTAAATATTAGTCATGTATAGGTGTGCCTGTATGGCGCCTCAATTAAGTGTCCGACTCTTGGTGTGGACTCAGGTCATCATCTCATGGATTGGTTGTGAGATCAAGCCTCACGAGCTCCAAGCTCAGTGTGGAGTCTGCTTGAAATTCTCTCCCCCTCACTCTGCTCCTCCCACTCATGCTCCCTCCGCCTCCCCTTTCTAAAATAAATAATCTTTAGAGGCATACCCTGAAACTGATTTATACACTGAGACAGCCGAATTTGGGAGTTAGAAATAATTTTTATGGAAAAAAAAGAAATAATTTTTATGGTAATCCAGAAAGATAAGAATAGAATACAAAAATAAATCTAGAAAGTTCTAAGATTTTGCTCAGTTTAACCTTCTTAACAAAAGTACTGCGCTGCCTGGCTGGCTCAGTTGGTGGAGCATCATGCAACTCTTGATCTCAGGGCTGAGTTCAAGCCCCAATTAAAAATAAAATCTTAAATAACTAAATATTAAAATAAAAAAATAAAAGTACTCATCAGAAGTCTTAAATTGCCAATCTCTACATCCCTAATATAAAGTTTCCTTCTCAATTACACTACTCCATATATCACATTTTAATCTTTCATTATATTAAGTTTATAAACTTTGTTATACATGGCTCTGTTACGTAGCAGTTTCTAACAGTTCTGCAACATATTCTTAAGACTGAACAATTACTGAAATAAGTTGAGATAATGAAAAACAACTTTTTTCAAATGTTTATTACATTATGTGTATATACAACATTTTCTCCGAGGAAGTCAAATCTACCAGATGTGATTATATCTATTATATATTATTATATTAAGTTTTAAAGTTTGCAAATAATAACCTCTTAGAAACCCATGAGATTAAGCTGGTGATTGTTTAATATGTTTAAGTTACTTTGTATAAATGACTAGAATTGATATATTATTTTCTTATTTGAACAAATGTAACTCAAGAATAATAGTCTCTCTCTCTCTTATAAAATCATCAAAAGTTCTGTGTATCAGAGAATTCAATCCCATCATTTTCTTTTCCTTTTCATCCGAATATACTATGGCAGGATTTCTTATAAATTCACCTTTCTACTAGGAAGCTTTTTTTAAGGTCAAACAACTATAAATAGTTAAAATTATTCCACAAATATACTATATATGTTGGAACTTAAATAAAATCTACTTCTCCAACATAATACAGTATTCAACCGTAATCTCCTGCAGCTCACGTAACAGCCCCCCCTCCAAAAAAAAAAAAACCTTTAACCTAGTCTCAGCAAAACACATAAAAAAACAAAATCAAATATGTTCTACCCTAATAATCTATTTATACAAAACAATGAACTTTAAATAATATCAGGTATCTCAAGTGATTCCTAAAAATACACAGTCCTTACAGACAACAAAACTACAGCAGAAAGGACACAGAATTAGAACATATGTTACCACCTTCCTTCTGAAACTAAAAATCCCAGTACAATCTCAGAAAGTGGAGTATGCTCAAGGCAACTCCTTGACATGCTGCCATTAGATCAAGCAGACTGTCTTCTGGGATGTTGCTATGGCAATGAGAGATGGCTATCCTAAAAAGAAAAAAGCAACTACTATTGTCAATTACAGTCTCAATACTAGCATCTAAAAACTAATCCAATGCTGGAAGAAAAACCATTTTTTAAATGAAGTATAAAGCCTACTGCTCCCATAATTTGCATGGCCTGATGAACTTTTGTAGTATAAACTTCAGTTACTCACTCTCCTTCAATAAATCAAGCAGGACGCCTTCCCACCAATTCCTTTTCACAAGGATGGAAGGACCAATGGACTAACAGATGGATGAGAAAGAAGACAGAAAGCAGAACAGGAAGGGAGGGAGGGGAGACCTCCCAGCTATATAAAAACAAACCAGGAGTTTTTACCTTTGAACTGCTTCCAAAACAAAGGCAAAGGCAAGTATGGAGGAGCAGATATTTGGGAGTTAAAAAATAAAAATAAAAACACTAAAATTATTTGCAAGTTTTTCCTAGAATGCAAAAGTTACTTTTCTTTTTAACATTTTATAATTTATTCTTCCAAATTCCTAAGTTTGATGTTTCTGATTTACCTGCACATAATGATCACTACCAAATAAGAGATCCTTTTATTTCAAGGAACATATTTCTGGTGGAGAGTTAATTTAGCAATAAGTTAGAAAAGCCAAGAAATGCTTTCTGAAGTCTTTGCTCATAAGCCCAGAATTAAAGTTCAAATCTAGCAAAACAGAATTACATCCAACTTGTAAAGACTCCCTTTATAACAACCCCCTCCATATATACACATACCCCTTGCAGAAAAAAAACCCTAAGGTATCTTTAAAAGTACAACTGAGTCACACCGCAAAGTACAGAATTCCTTAGTGATGTAAACAAGTCCCCTGGACACAAAGTTCTATACTTTTTTTTTAAATCAACAGACCAGATTAAATAACAACTACAAAATATAATAAAATCCTGCCAATATGCTGTAATCATGGTAACCAAAAAAAGTGTTTCTGGGACCATCTGACTCATCTTGTTAAGCAATAACTCAGTACTGGGAGTCAAGAGCCATTTAATGAAACTGGAATTACTTACCAAGAAACCATCTATCTTATTTTCCCTTAGACTGTAAAAAGGTTAAAAGGGGGGGAGGGAGGAAAAGAAAAAGAAAAAGGAAAGAGGAAAGGAATATTTGCAACCCTATTTCAAAGGTGTGAGGCTACATCAAATATTTTCAAAATACTAACTAAAAACCTAATTCACACAAAATCAAAATTTCAATACTGTATTTGTATTCATCCCACACGCGGAGGAAATGTAAGTAAAGTTCTCCCTGTTTATTATCAGGGCACCAACAATATCGAAGGAAAATGCGATTTTCAGCAACAGCTTCTTTCTCTTGGTCTCTTTCAAACAACTTAGACAGGAATGTAAAATGGGTAGCTCAAAATCATTTCATTCAACATGCTTAAAAGTAAATAAAACAGCCCACTGTATATTATCACTAAATGCCTTTTATCTAACACATTGCAATTTCTATCAAGTAACCAAACATGTATTTGGTTACCTCTGTAATACTTTATTGCTAAAAAAAGAAATCCTCATACATAATTAACTTTCACCCCACAGATGTATGTTGTTGTTTTTAAGATTTTACTTCTGTGAAAGAAAGGGGGGAAAGACACACGAGGGAGCAGGAGAAGCAAACTCCCCACTGAGTGCAGAGCCCAAAGCCAGCTCAATCCCAGGACCCAAAGATCATGACCTCAGCTGAAATCAGCTTAACTGACTGAGCCACCCAGGCACCCCCAGAGATGTATGTTTTTAATGGACTGATAAACTAAATTTACACTTTTCTGAAAATATAAGGAAGCCCACCAATCACATGACTACTTTTAAATAGTGCATGTTTTCAAGACATCCTTAATTTTACAAGTTATCAAAATCTATATAAAAATATCATAGATCCACAATGCCTAGCACAATATTTAGGAAAGAATAATTGTTCCAAGTACATTTTTTGGATATATGTGAATCCAGCCTCTTCCCCTAAACTTCGGGTAAATTTTAATATCAATAAATTAAAATTCCTTTAAACAAATGTTCATTTTTTTAAGATGTTTTCATTTACTTATTTTGAGAGAGAGAGAGAGAGAGAGAGAGAGAGAGAGCGCGCGCGCGTGCGCGCGCATGAGCAGGGGGAGGGGCAGAAGGAAAAGGAGAAGCACTCTCCATTGGGCAGGGAGCCCAGTGGAGCTCAATCCCAGGACACTGAGATCATGACCCGAGCTGAAGGCAGACGCTTAACCACCTGAGCCACCCAGGCACCCCAGAAGTTCAATATTTAAGAATCGAAAAACCAGATGTGAGGGGCTGGGTGGCTCAGTCAGTGAAGCATCCAACTCTTGATTTCAGCTCAGGTCATGATCTAAGGGTCATAAGATGGAGCCCCCAAGTCGGGCTCCATGCTCAGCAGGGAGTCTGCCTGAGTTTCCCTCCCTCTCCCTCTGCTCCTCCCCCTACTCGCACGCACTCTCACTTTCTCTCTCTAAAATAAAATCTTTTTTAAAAAAACAGGTATGTTTAAAAATATACAAAACAGCCGTTTAATGGTCTTCACGGTATCTTATCTAGAATGGTGGAACAGACTTAATATTCTCCTTACCACCAACTTCCTTGGTCCAATTTATTTAACATGTTGCAGCTCAGATTAATCCTTCTCACTGCTCAAGACTCTCTAAGAGAGCCTGCTAATAGTCTACTGAATGGTGGTAAGGCCTTAATTCAGTATTCAAGTTCCCCCATAATCTGATTCAAACTACCTTTCCAAATTTACTTCTTCCTCTTCTCTTTATCATATCCTTCTCAACAGCCAAGCTGAAATTCTAACTATGACCAGTACTTCTCTACTGCTAGTCACTTTTTTAGTAGACCATCTTTTCTCCTTCCTGCCCTGTAGCCCACATGTCCTAGTTCAGCTCTCTAAAGCATCATTTTAAATGCCACTTCCTCCATGAGAGTCACCTCATCCCAGTAGCTGCAGGTCATCTCTACTCTTCCAAGCTCCCAGAGCACTTTATCTGTAGCTCCACTACGGTTCCTACGACATGATAGGGTGCATTATTGTTACTGATAGTCATCACTCCTACTGGCATCTAAGACCTTCAAGAATCAATGTTTGGCTCAGGAAAGAAGGTGACATAGATGCTTCTTCCAGAAGGAAGCTGCGTAAAGGAAGATCTCAAAGCAGTTGGAAAAAGTGAAAACCATGGGAAAGGCT